CCAAACCTCTCCATCAGCAGAAATACCTGCTAAGCCATAAAGAGCAACATTCTCCTAGCACTAATGAGATAACTCCTTGAAAGTCAGCATTCCCTCCTAATCTTGTAAGGGGCCACAATGACCTAGGTTGTATAAACTGCAATAATACGTCATTTAATATAACAGCTCTCAAGAAAGCTTTTGACAGTCTCAAACACTTAACAAAACTACGCTTTGATCACTAACGGACAGAACAGTTCTTGGAGCTTTCTGAGAGGCTGTTCCTGGGTTATAATCCTCAATTTGGCGCAAATAAATTTTCCATTTCTTTCTTATATCAACTGTTAATTTTTTCATCCACAGGTACCAGCTGAATATATTATGCTACATTTACACTATGGAGTACTGTGCAGGAATGAATCTCTCTCTATATATACTAGTAGAATAATCTCCAGAATTTATGTGAAAAAAGGTGGAGAAAAGTATGTTACCATTTATCTCAGAAAAAGGAAGATATGGATAAATATACATAATTAACTATATTTTTAGAATGAGAAAAAAAATGTTTAAACCATTGCCTGTGGGGCAGGGAGTAGAGGTGAGAATAAGGATTTTTCAGTGTGAAGGAAAAGTGTGACAGATATACAACCAACGAGGTTAAAAAAAAAAAACCCTTGAATTCCTGAATTTGAAATGGAAGTGAGAATTCATAATGCATTTTATTTAAAAAAAAACAAAACAAAAAACAAAACAAGACCATATTTACCTAGCTCTGTCCACCGAACAGGTTATCAGAACAATACAACTCAATAACAATTAGTACCACAAACATTCAGATTATGTTTTTTAAATACCATTTCCCACTAAAGGAACCAGAGCACTTTAAACAAAGGGCTTGTTATTAGTATGGGGTAAGAAATGTACAAAACCAGCCTGGAAAGCAATCAAAGACTATTAGGACCACGTCAAAAGGACCCATGAGCCAATGTGAATGAACTCCCACTGGCCTAAGAACTTGAGCACCAAGAAGACAATAATTGCAATGAACTACAACTCACAAAATATGTTTAAATCCCTGGATTCATAATGATAGCTGCTTACTTTTAGGGTTTTTAACCACCCGAAATATTTGGTAACAGTGTAGGTCATTATCTAATTTTATTTTTCATTAGAATAACCATTTATTCAGCATTACTTACTGACTAGTTAATCCTTTTCTTGCTGATACATAATACTAATGTCGTATGTCCAAGTCACACATGTGTATATATATATATATATATATTATTTTTTTTGGTTTCTTTAATTTAGTTTCTTATTTGTCCATCCTCATGCAACTACAATACTATCTTTTTTTTAAAACATTTTTTATTGAGTTACAGTCATTTTACAATGTCCAAAATACTATCTTAATTACTATGACTTTATTATATAACTAGTTATCTGGTGGACAAGCCCCTTCAAGCTTATTCTTCTTCCTCAAAATTTTCTTGGATCCTGTAAATTTTTCTACATAAATGTGAAAAATATTAGGATGGCCTCAACAGAAACATAGATCTTATTTTTAAAAATCACCAACTCTACACTGGAAATAAGAAAAAACATTAACTGAGTAAGTGGGTAAGTGATCAATTTAACACTAAACTATAAGGTTATAGAGGATTAAAAGTTATAAAGTAGTATTTATTATACTTGAGTGTCACTGCATAGTTTTTTGGAGAAAACATCTAAAGTCTTTTGAGTTTTTGAAATAAGAATTTTTCCCCTATACTTTTCTGGTCAGGAGAAGAACTGAAAAAGAGAAATAATCTTGAATCCAGAATGAACAATTCTTGCTATATACATTTTCCCACACATATAAAGAAAGCTCTGTAACTTTCCGAGAAATTGTGACTTGAACTAAACACCAAACTATCAAAATTCATGTGCATATTTGGAAGTTTTTAGTCATTGGGAGCCATGGCATTTCTTTTCTCTGTATCACAAACTGTTACAAATACTTTCCTTTTACTATTAACTTTGGAACACAAGACCTCCTGTACTGTGACCAACTGGCAGGCAGAGATGACAGGGACAGGAAATGGGAAATGGCTCGGGGTCTTGGAATTCCCCTGGCTGCCTAATTAAGTGGCTTATTATTTGGAAGTTTTTGAAATATTTGCCCCCTGGAGTTCCCCTGCGAGAAGCAGGCATCTGATTTCATTGCCAAAGAGTGTCTTCACAGGACACAAATTTTTAAAAAATTCACTCGCTGCGATACAAGAAATATTTACTGCGTGCCCTTAGGTTCGCCCCACTAGAGGCGGGGGAGACCCAGCGCCCACAACCAGTAAAACCAAGAGGCTGTATTTACAATTTCTAACAGTTAACTACTTTAAAATGTCATGGATAAATGGGCTCCTCTGTGGTCCAGGTTCGGTTTTGACATATACATACATATATGAATGTGTAAATTCCGTTTTAAGTCACATTCAGAAAAAAAGGGAGATAAAAGCCTGCTCTGAAACCCTGTTCACGTGGCTGGTGACGAGCTTCTGAAATTAGGACACTGTCAGCGCATACGTCTCCAGAACAGAAAAACAAAAGCTTAAAAAGCAAAGATAGAGTGGCTAATTATGAAACAGACAGAATCCTAATATACCCTCTCAAAGATGGCCAAATCGCATCTTCGGAGCTAATCTTCTGACGCTGCTCTGCTTTCCAACACTTGGCCTTTTCCTCCCATTTCCACGGCCAGCTGTTGAAGGTGGACGCTACGCAGCTGCTGGGGATAAACGGTTACAACTGCTTCCTGCATTGAGGGCGAGCTGCTAGCAGGTGGACTCGCCCCGCACACGGCGGCGCCCCCGAGAGCGGAGGTCAGCCCGGAGGTCAGCCCGGAGC